CCAGACATCATGGATTGGAATACTTACTAAACAATTTTCCTGAAAAAAGGCAGTAGGACATCTTGTTCAAATAATGTCATCAAGTCGGGCTGGCATGGCTCAGTAGTTGAGCATTGACCTGTGAACCAGGAAGTCATGGTTCGATTCCATCAAGGCACATGCCTGAGTTGTCTACTTAATCCAAGGCAGGAGGCAGCCGATCAATGATTCTCTCTCATGATTGATGTTTCCATCTCTCACTCCATCTCCTTCCTCTCTGAAATCAATGAAAATATATTTTTTAAAAGTGTTATCAATATTTAGATAGTTTCTTGCCGAAACCGGTTTGGCTCAGTGGTAGAGCGTCGGACTGCGGACTGAAGGGTCCCACGTTCGATTCTGGTCAGGGGCATGTACACTGGTTTTGGGCACATCTCCAGAGGGGGTGTGCAGGAGGCAGCTGGTCGATGTTTCTCTTTCATCGATGTTTCTAGCTCTCTATCCCTCTCTCTTCCTCTCTGTAAAAATCAATAAAATATATTTTAAAAAAATATTTAGATAGTTTCTGGATAGTTGGAAATAAGGCATTTTGAGGAGGGGATTTTTAAAAGATACACATAATAGAGGAGCATTTGACACATTGCCCCCAGCACCCCCCCCCCCCCCCCCCCCCCCCCCCCCCCCCCCCCCCCCCCCCGCCCCTTGCACATGTCATCAGTTTGGCTCAAAGAAGCTGTAAAAATTCTCTGCAGGCCTGGAGGTTCCTTCTGCCACGTGGCCTGCACATTCCTTCCATCACGTGGACTGCATGTCACGTGGCTTGCACGTTTCTTAGGCCACGTGGCCTGCACGCAGTGAGTGGTGCGTCAGGATCGAAGAATCGGGCCAGCTTCCGGTTCCCTTCCAGCGAGCCTGGTGAGTTTCTCTCGGAATTCCAGGCCTCTGTGCTCTGAGTACCGTGGCTTCTTGTACGCAGTTCTTCAAACACCCTCAGGGGAATAGGGATGAGATACCCCCGGGAAAGGAAAAAAGGTGCTGCTTTTAATCCGGCCTTTTCATTGGCTTGCTCACTGCGAGTCTAAACCAAAGTTTGGCTGGGTCCATGGAGACCCAACTCTCCCTTCCCGAGGAGAGAGGACACTTGTTTCCCCGCCCAGATGGCCAAAGGATGGTGGTGTTTAAACGTCACCCTCTGCACCTCGAGTAGCAGACGTGGGCTCCGCGGGGCCTGCAGAGAGTTCACAGCCAACCCAGGGTGGCAGCCCCTGGACGGTGCCCCCAGGGGAAGGGCTGGGGAAGGGCCCGGTGCTCCCAGGGGAAGGGCTGGGGAAGGGGTTTGGTGCTCCCAGGGGAAGGGTTGGGGGAGGGGCCGGGTGCCCCCAGGGGAAGGGCTGGGTAAGGGGCAGGTGCCCCCAGGGGAAGGGCTGGGGGAGGGGCCGGGTGCTCCCAGGGGAAGGGCTGGGGAAGGGCCCGGTGCCCCCAGGGGAAGGGGCCGGGTGCCCCCAGGGGAAGGGTTGGGGGAGGGGCCGGGTGCCCCCAGGGGAAGGGCTGGGTAAGGGGCCCGGTGTCCCCAGGGGAAGGGCTGGGGAAGGGGCAGGTGCCCCCAGGGGAAGGGCTGGGGGAGGGGCCGGGTGCTCCCAGGGGAAGGGCTGGGGAAGGGGCTTGGTGCCCCCAGGGAAAGGGCTGGGGGAGGGGCTTGGTGCCCCCAGGGGAAGGGCTGGGGAAGGGCCCGGTGCCCCCAGGGGAAGGGCTGGGGGAGGGGCCGGGTGCCCCCAGGGGAAGGGCTGGGGAAGGGGCTTGGTGCTCCCAGGGGAAGGGCTGGGGAAGGGGCTTGGTGCTCCCAGAGGAAGGGCTGGGGAAGGGGCTTGGTGCTCCTAGAGGAAGGGCTGGGGAAGGGGCCGGATGCCCCCAGGGGAAGGGCTGGGGAAGGGGCTTGGTGCTCCCAGAGGAAGGGCTAGGGAAGGGGCTTGGTGCTCCCAGAGAAAGGGCTGGGGAAGGGGCTTGGTGCCCCCAGGGGAAGGGCTGGGGAAGGGGCCCGGTGCTCCCAGGGGAAGGGCTCGGGAAGGGGCTTGGTGCTCCCAGAGGAAGGGCTGGGGAAGGGGCCGGGTGTCCCCAGGGGAAGAGCTGGGGAAGGGCCCGGTGCCCCCAGGGGAAGGGTTCCCGAATGGGCGGTGCCTCGGGAAGCAGGGTGGCTCCAAGGCAGCAGGTAAGTTCTGGCTGGCCCTTGCCCCGATATTCGGTATTCAGTATTCTTAGGTGACTAAGAGTTTTTGTGGAATTGGCCTGAGAAAGAGCTACCTCTAGGGCGTAAGGCAGGGCTAAATGGTACCCACCGCATTTGGCTTGTCTGGAGACATGCATATAGGGCTGGTTGTCTCCAAAATTGCGTTAGACCTGCAGATCTCAAAATTATCCTGGGAAATCATGCCCCCGAGGCTAATATGGCACACCACCATCAGCCTCTCCTTAACCCTATCGTGGCTGGCCCCGACGGTGATGGACCAGGAGGTCACCATAAATACATATATTAAAAAAAAAACAAAAAAAAACCCACACACACACACACACACACACACACACATACACACAAAAAACCACTAACATAGCTGAAATGAGAATCCATTGATAGTTCTAAATTAACTTCCCTGTGCACAATTAGAAAAAGCTGGCTATAATGTTAGGCAGAATGAATAGAAAAATGTATTGGTCTTTCCAGGCTTCAAAAAGAGGACTTACTTCAACTATGACATCATCTAGGTGTTAACCCAGTTCTTTGAGGATTAGAAAAGTCCGTACTGCCCTGCCAGTGTAGGTCCGTGGTTGAGTGTCGATTCATGCACAAATTGATCAGGGCACATACATGCCCAGGATGGGGCTTTGAAAGCCAGTAGGAAGCATGCAGAAGGCAGCTGATCAATGTTTCTCTCTCATGGTTGTTTCTATCTCTCCTTTACCCTTCCTCTCTCTAAAAATCAATAAAAACCTATTTTAAAAAATTTTCTGTCCTACTTTTAATTTTTTTAAGTTCTCACCAATTTCAATGTGACATAGAACCATTGATTGGTTGGGGCATGAAATACTTTAAATAATAATAAAAAAAGAAACATAGATTGGTTGCTTCCCACACGGTGGGGGGGGGGGGGGGGGAGGGGGATTGGATCTGCAACCCAAGGTACATGCCTTTCACCCTGAATCAAATCACAACCCTCTGGTGTGAAGGCTGATGCTCTAACCACTGAACCATGCTGGCCAGGGCTGTCCTAATTTTAAAAGAGGGATGGTCCTTTGGAACTTGACTTGTCATGGAATTTACAATATAAATTGTCCTTTTATAAGCTAGTGAGTTATTCTAATGGCCAAGCGGTTTCTGTTTATGTCTGTCCATGTTGTAAATGTGAGATAATTTTCTGCTTCTGGATGGTATTGTTAAAAATTCAAAGGTGAGCCGAAACCAGTTTGGCTCAGTGGATAGAGCATCCGCCTGCGGACTGAAAGGTCCCAGGTTCGATTCCAGTCTTGGGCATGTACCTTGGTTGCAGGCACATCCTTAGTAGGGGGTGTGCAAGAGGCAGCTGATCGATGATTCTCTCTCATCAATGTTTCTAACTCTCTATCCCTCTCCTTTCTTCTCTGTAAAAAATCAATAAAATATATATATTTTTTAAAAAAATTCAAAGGTGAGGGCTTAAGATTTGGATATTCTAAAAGTCTCAGAAATATAGAAGCTAACTCAAATGCTTTCCAAGTTCATGTGATCTAAGATTAATCCTTAGTAAATAAAAGCTACCTTAACTTTGTTGGTTCAAGTAAAACAGACATTTGTTTTGTCCAGTTTTAAAAAAATAATTCCATGTTAGTAATTGACTTTTAGGTCTGTAAATAATGTTTCTAGAGGTTATAAAATGTCCACACCAAAAGATGCTAATTATTTAATTTTTATTAGAAATTGAGTTTTTGTTGTTGTTTTTGCTATAATTGCTTTTTTAATCATTCTATTTCATGAGCATCTAAGTGATAAACAGACCCCCAAATAAAGACCAGTTTGTAAACTGGGCCATTTTAATGTTCTTTATAACAGAAAAATAATTCTCTTGATGACTGCAGACATATAAGCTGTTTGATAGCACTCAGAAACATCACAGTAAAGCAATTTTCCTGATTGGTGCACAGTCTTCAACAATTACAGAGTGACTTCAATGAAACTGCTATCAAACCAGGGAGACTGCATTTATACAACCATGATTTTCAGGACTATTGGGAACCTGGGCTTATTTTCCCCAAATAACCTTGCCTCCTAGTGTCACAAGGCCCAACTCATTCACGTTCACCTGGATGACGGCACCTTTGGTAATAACACCCAAAGTTGTATGAAGTGGGGAGTAGGGATTCTTCTTCACATCAAGTATTGGCAAGCAAAAGGTAGCTTTCAGATCAGGATGTGTTACATGGGCCTTCTTGAAACCATTGACCTAATGACTCTTTCATATTTAGGTGGTTTTCAAGTAAAGTTACGGTACCTCCAACAAAGCAGACTTCAGTAACCATCCTCTTCCATGCTTTTTTCTTTCTCTTTCCTGTTCCAATACCTGTTTCTCCCTGGGCACAAACTTTGGGCAGAGGGACTTCCCATTTTCCCGCTTTCTCTTTTCCTTTTTGTTTAATCATATTGGGAAGTACTTTAGCTCGGGACTGTCCCTCTCTGTCCAGCAGATACTCAGGTGCTGCTCCTTGCGGAGTCTTTTCGTCATTCTTTTGTTTGGTGTTTCGCTTTTCATGCATCTTGATAGTCTTTTTCATTTGTGTTTTCTCAGCATGGTGCCATTTATGGTAGAGCTTAGCCTTCAGATCAATCGTTTTTGGTTTTTTTGTGTGTTTTTTTTTGCCTTTTTTGAACATACATGAGCCTCTCGATCATCCTTCTTTCTCTTTTTCTCATGGTGATCCAAACACTATCCATAGAGCTTCCGGTGTAACTCAGTATTCTGGTTTTGTGGCATGATGATGGCCGCTGGGCCCCCTGAATAGTGCTAGAAATTGAGTTTTAAGGGATTAAAATCTCAATATATGTAGGAATAACTTGGAGGTATTTCCAAAGGGCCCCCGGAATACCTCAAAATATTTGAAATTGCATGGGAAGCTTCGTAAAATTAGTGATGAAAACTTCTAGGGTATATTGTATGGATAAACAATGGTTGTAAATTAAACAAATAGCAGGGGCTATGGGAAACCCAAGATGGCTGTTTGGTTCTTCCCTGCTCTCTGGCTGATCAATGTAACAGATTGAGATTCAGAATCTATCATAGAAAATGAATGCTGTAGGCTTACGTATTTGACACTGCATTCCTTCCCAGGAGGCAGGACAATGGCATATACTGGGAGCAATGCATTGACCACCATTTTTACACTTCTGAATGCAGATAGCTGCAAAAAGAAACATAAACAAGTCATAAATATGATTTACTAAATAAATCCTATCATTAAACACAAAAATGTCCACTAGAGAAAAACAAGGACAGTGAAAAGTCAGTGATGAAAGCATCTTTTCCCTTAACATTTTACCCAGAATATTTCCAATGTCACTGCTTATTCTTGATTTTAATGGTTGTATAATGTTCCATTGATAGAGTGCATCGTGATTTAACTTTCCTCCAATTATTAGACATCATATTACTTCTCATTTTTCTCTTTGACCAATATGTTATCATAGCTGCTCATTTTAACTAATATTTTTTAAACCGGAAAAAAAATAATATTTGAATGAGGAGAGCTGCTATCATTTAAAACACTAATCCAGTTTGAAAGCAGTGGCACCTCACCTTGGGAGGTTCTAACTTGATTGGTCTGAGATGGGACCATAGAATTAGTAATTTTTAAAAACCTTCTCCTGACTCCTGTTTAAAACCAGAAGACCATGACTTCAAGGCTAGCTCTTTATCCTGGCAATCATAGTGGACAGACTGTAAAATACCCTATATCTGCTTCCTCTGCTAAATCGAAAGAATAAGTTGAAAGGACTTGGCATTTTACTCAGATTCCCATTTTTTTTTTAAAAAAAGAAAAGATGTCACTTAAAATAGAAACAAATAAAGCAAAAATAAAAACAAGGAAAATGATTGTCTTAAATTCGAATTCATATTCACAAGATGATAGAGGTGTTAGCACTGAGTATTCCTCTTACGTGTGTTGCAGTGTTTCCCTCTCCAACCAGAAGGACAAGAGCAAATGTTTGGTCCCACACATTTCCCTCCATTCATGCACATGGGATCACAGATACCTTAAGGTAAAAAAGATGAAATGTCAGGCCTTAAATAGGAATAGTTTAGCTCTTTAAGGTGTTTGGTTTACCTGTAGTTGGCAAATACAAGTAGTGGTGTCTTACTTTTTTGGCATCTCCTACCAGTGTATCCTCCACGACAGGTGCACACATTCTTTCTCACGCAGCGGCCACCATTCTCACAGGGAGGGTGACAGATAGCTAAAAGAATATATGGCAGCAATCTGAGAATATTACACATTCAGTTGTTGTATATTACATATTGCATCGTGTGCTTGTTACCTGCGGGGCCATAAGGCAGAGAGATGTGCTATTAAAATAAAAGATCACAACTACGAGTACTAAAATCACCCCTTCTAAATCAAAATACAATTCTTAGAGCTATAAACTGCTAGGCACATGTGTCAAACACAAGGCCCGCGGGCCAAATCCGTCCCGCCAGGCCTTGCAATGTGGCCCGCACTGCGCTGTCATCACTGCACTCCGCTGCGTTTCCATCACAATGACAGTTTATGACTGTTCAGTAAACCATTCGGCCCGCGATTTAGGCTGGATTTTAGATTTTGGCCCCTTCTCTGATTGAGTTCGACACCCCTAGGCTAGGGCTATTGCTATTTTTTATTAGGGAGAAATACTCATATTTTCTGCTTCTTAATCTTTATGCAATATAAGATTATTCCTATTTACTGAGCCACAGCAGCTGGGCTATATATACTTTTTAGTTCTACTTGGTAATTTAGAGATTTTCCTCTTTCCCAGTTAACGATTGACATATTAATTTAATTTAATTTAATTTAAAAAAATATTTTTTATTGATTTCAGAGAGAAAGGAAGAGGGAGAGATAGAAACATGAATGATGAGAGAGAATCATTGATTGGCTGCCTCCTCCATGCCCCCTACTGGGAATCAAGAGCATAACCCCGACATGTATCCTTTACTAGAATTGAACCTGGGACCTTGCAGTCTACAGGCTGATGCTCTATCCACTGAGCAAACCAGCCATGGCATGCATATACATTTTAGAGAATTGCCCGGCCAGTGTGGCTCAGTGATTGAGCTTCTTCCTATGAACTAGGAGGTAACGGTTCCATTCCCGGTCAGGGCACATGCCTAGGTTTTGGGCTCGATCCCCAGTAAGGGGCCTGCAGGAGGCAGTTGATCATTGATATCTCTCATCATTGATACTTCTTTCTTTCCATCTCCCTTCCTTTCTGAAATCAATAAAAATATATTTTAAAAAATTTTAGAAAATAAAATTAAAAAGTAATATAAGAGATGTAAGCTTTTCATTTCCTTTCTTACATTCTCCACTCAACATCATACCTATAACTCATAAACATGGGCTTCAATATAGTCTCCTAATTTTCAAGATTTGCCTTATCTCTGTCTTTATTTTCTTCTCTTTTGCTATTTGGTTTCTTATAGGAAATTTGAATTATAGGAATTCCTTTCCAATGTGCATATATCTAGTATTGAAATTATGCTCTTTTTCTTTGCCTCAGTTGCCACCTAATACTTCTAGCCAACATCCAAATTAAAAATTGGAATAAAATCAAAGTGTAACAAGACAAAAGAAAGTATACATTTTAAGAATTAAGTTATGACATGTTCCGTCAAGCTTTTACTAAAAATCTACCCTATACTTTGCATTAGCTAAAAATTATGAAGCTTGGAAGATGCATTTTAAATTTCATTTATTGATATTAATTCATATCTACACTGACTGCTTCAGGCATGCCCACTATTCTGAAAAAACCCACAGCATTAACATTATGAGGGAAAGTATTAAAATAACAGGCTATAAAGGGGAAATTATGCAAATTTATGTTCACATATCACCTTGCATTGTGCTGTGCGCATCTGGTTCTTCATAAATGTTAAATAAAACTAAAGTCAAGAGAGATCATGAGGTAAAAGTGAACATTAAATTGAGCAAAAATCAAATGTTTTTGCTGTGAAGGCAACAAAATGACACCATTTCATTATAATAGACTGCAAGAAAACTTTGCTTATTTTTTTACACCCTGGTTCTATAAAACTGCACAGACAGCTGCCATAGTTGTGAGCCTAATATATGCTGAATAGATATAATCATTGTTCATCATAACTCTGATACGTTTCTATGAAGTTGTCCTTTAGTGGCCAAACTTGCAACATCATAAGAAATAGAGAAAACAAATGAAATAGCATCTTCCCTTTGGAATTTGTCTCATTGTATTTACTCAGATCTCTGTTTATGTCTAATTCCCGCTTAGCTTTCTTATTTATAAAGAAAGAATAATTACCATTCTGACACTGTGCACCAAAGAATCCATTTGGACAGTGGCAAGTGTTTGGCTTATTACAGGAACCACCATTGAGGCAAACAGGGTCACACAAAGCTAATGAACAGCAGGGAGGAGAAAGATCATAAAAGTTTTATTATTTTTTAAAAATGAAAGCTGCATGAAAGTGCAAAATAGTGCATAATGAAATATTTTATTTTTACTGCAAATTAAACCCATAACTTATAATTAGTTAGAATTTGCCAAATATAAGAGGAATAAAATAATTGGGTAATAGTTTTGAAAGTCTGTTCATCAAGCTTACAGATAATACCAAGCTAAGACTATGGAGGCTGGTTAGAATTCAGAATGCCTTTGTTAAGCTGAAAGAAAGACTGGAAGTTGGGAGAAGGCAATTCAAAAGCTCAAACAGGATGGTCTGTAATTTGCTCAAGTACAAGTGGCCATGTGGACCTCTTTAAGTATCCTTCCCAATTTAGAAGGAACACTGCACACTATAAAACAATCTTTGTTTTTGCTTCTTTATCTTTGTTTCATTTTAAAAGGTATCCCCAATTACATTTTTCTTTTTAAAAACTAATGTAGTGGGTTAATAACATACTAGTATAAATTTCAAGTTAATAATACAACATCTGAATACTGCATTGTGTGCTCACCACCCAAAGTTTAGTCTCCTCCCATCACCATATACTTGACACCCTTTACTTTTCATTCTTCCCCAACCTCCTTCCCCTCTGGTAACCACTGTTCTGTTGTCTGTATCTGCAAGTTTGTTTGTTTGTTCATTTGTTCCTTTTTGTTTTATACCCCACATGAATGAAACCCTTTTCCCTCCATACTGACTTGCCAAAATTAATATTCCTCTTCTCTGCTTCCAAGAAACTGTACATTAATTACATAACTTATTATAATTCAACTTGTATCAGAGTCTTTTTAATAATACAATCCTGTTCCCCTTCATTAATGATATACTCCTTAAAAGCAGGGCAAAATCAAATTGATCTTTGTTTTCCCTTTGCATTATGCTTCGCACATAGTTGGCAAGCTATCGATATAAATGTTGAATTAAATCTATGTTGTAAAAAGTCATTAGAATACAATGTATTAGATTAAACATAGATAATTGTACACACTGCTGCCAAGAAGTAAGCCTGATTTGGTGATAAATGAATTCATTTGATGGTGCCCACTTAACTCAAAATTGCTTGAATGTTTAATGAACTAGAATGTCTGATTTTTAAAAAATCCCACAACAGTTTGAGGTCTAGAAGATGCAACGCAGATATGTTTCTCTCCACCATGAGGCAAGTGGACAAAGAAAATATAAAAGCATAAAAAAAATTGGTTAGGTTGGTTGACAATAAAGCCATTAAACAGCCTATGGTTTCATATAAGAAGAAAAAGAATGAAGACGATAGGTTTTTAAAAATATCTCTGCAATAAAAACTTCATACCATTCTTAAAAGATTAGTTTTATGTTTTGGGGTGCAAGTCTTTAGGACATTGACATATTTAAATTTTATTTTAACTGACATTTATTGAAAATATTTTTTATTTCACCTGTACTGCAGGTGGGTCCATACCAGCCAGGCTTGCACTGGCAAACATCTGGTGTAAGGCATTCACCTCCATTTTCACAGTGTTTGTTACAAACCACTAAGATCATAGGACACAAATTAAAAAAGGTAGATTAGGCTTGGAATTGGTCATATCATTGCCCATTACCTGGTTAGCTCATTACTACCTATTACATCTTTAATGAATAAGATCAGAAAGAAAGATAAAAATAAAATTGCCTTTGATTTTACAAGGTCTCCATTTCTCACATCAAGTTATGTTAATTTTAACTTATTTTGCTGATAGATATGGGAAAAGTAGGAAACCATTGAGCTGAATGTTAAACAAGCAATGGCCATTTGGAAAAATTATTACTTACTAATGAAAGTAATCACAGGCATAAATTAAATGAGGTAATTTATATGTCATTCAACAAATTGAATTTCTGTCATCTAAAAAAAAAAAAAAAAAATGGAGAAATGGTCATGAATAAGGCCAAAAAAAAGAATTGCTCATAAGAAACTTTTAATTTAGTTTTGGCACCCGATACTCTCAGTATTATGCTGAATGGTAACTGTCATAATAAATCACAAATGTGTGATTTTTTTTCCCCCATGGAGTTTGGGTTTATACCAATTAGCATTAAAGCCATCAACTATTCAAAGGAGCAGTCCTATCTAATAAAAGGGCAATATGCAAATTAACCATCACTCCATCAAAAAGATGGTGGCTCCCATAGTCACAAGATGGTGGCGCAGGAGTCCCCCAGTCCAGGGAGAGGGGGTGGCCACTGAGACCGGGCAGCATGAACAGCCTGGTGGGTTGCTTACTTCGTTGACAAGGCAAGCATTCTGCATCCAGCTGCAAATGGGCCTCTGGGCTGCAGAGAGCCTCTAGGCAGTGGTGCAGAGCTGCCAGGCCCCACAAAGAGCTATTGGTGCACGGATTTGTGCACAGGGCTACTAGTTTTGTTATATGAGTCCCCAGGAGCTTTGCTTACTTGTTTTGCACCTTGGTCCCACAAAACCATAAGGACAAGTACAGAGGTTTCTAGCCAAGCAGGTGCCACCATGTTGACAAGGAGGGCTACAATATTCTGCAGACACAGATTGTGTTATTAAGTCAGCTCACAATTTAAAAAAAAAAGTCAGTTTTTGTTTATAAAGTACAGTTACAATGAAAGCTTTTTGTAAGAGCCCATTATATCATCATTTATCTTTTACTATGAAATTTGGTTCTGTGGGATTCACTATGAGTTCATGCTCTAAAAACACCCACAAATCATTGGCATGTCTTAGTTTATAAAACTTACAATCAACTGATATAATTAAGATTACATTTGATCTTAGCTTTCTTCTGGAAAGTGTTACTTGGACATATGCATTCTAGCTCACGAATAGAACACTTATATTTCCCATAATTATTTTCATATGCTATTGATATTGACTGTTTCTGTTGGTTTATTCTAGATTTAATTTGTTAATTTGTACCTTGTTATGAAAGCATTTAATATGGCTCTACTTTATTAATGATTACATTACCATCTATCAACATCTGTTATTTTTAAAATAACAAATTTGTTTTTTAAAATATCCACTTTAGGAATATCATTTTTAAACTCTCTACTTAATATTTCCATTAAGACAGTAAAATTAAATGGCTATAGACATGCTTTTATTTCTTTACTTTTTAAAATATATTTGTATTGATTTCAGAGAGGAAGGAAAAGGGGGAGAGAGGTAGAAATATTAATGATGAGAGGGGATCATTGATTTGCTGCCTCTTACACGTCCCACACTCAGACTTGAGCCCAGAGCCCACAGCCTGGGCCTGTGCCCTGGTGGGGAATCGAACCGTGGCCTCCTGGTTCATAAGTCGATGCTCAACCACTAAGCCATGCTGGCTGGTCTATATAGCCATGTTTCTAAAAGTCACTTTTTAAATTTATTCTTACCACCTGACATCTTCTAACTATTTGGTATTTCACAATTCTTTGAAACTATGTTTGACAAGTCCTTCAATAATCAAATGTCCTGTGTTTGAAGGTAAAATGTTTGTAGGGCTCTGATAACTTATAACTAAATCTCAAAAAATTATTCCTGAAGATAATTTTACCAAGAACAAATAAGATATTGCTCTTCAGTTTTCTGATTTTAGAAATTTATTTTTTAAATCTTCAAATAATGATTTTAAATAAACATTAAAAACTTTGACTCCCTCACAAGCATTAATGAATATATTAATATGTATACAGAAAAAACTATCATTTAAAAATTCGCTTTTTTATCCAATTTTTAATTTGAATGATTACCTTCTTCACAAGTTGCTCCACCAAATCCTGGGGTACATTCACAAATGTTAGGTCTAATACATTTTCCATGGTTTTTGCAATCAGGATGACATATAGCTATATAAAATAAAGCCCATGCTTAGAAATAACAATTATCAATTAAATTAATCATGCAAACTGATGAGTGCTATACCTACCAGTTTGGCAGTTAGAGCCAGTGTAACCAGGTTTACATTTACATATGTTTGGGGCAACACACTCCCTCCCTTTTCCACATGGGTGTCTACAAATGGCTGCAAAAATGAAGGGTAAAATGTTGATACAGTATGTACATGTTGCTTATAGGCTTGGTCATAAAAGTAAAATTTTCTGAAATTTGACACTATTACTAAACAATAACCACTACATTTATCCATGAAATTATTTTCCCCCTTATATTTGTTTTACTACTGGAATACCTGAGGATAAGAAAGAAAAACCATATGAGTAATCCCTCCCATAGTAAAATCTATGTTAGAGATGGTGACTAACCATAAATGGGATGAGGGCAATGAAATGTCAGGTACTAATCAGGTAAATGTTGGTGAAAGGCAAAGATAATTAGAATTTCAAAGAGCAAGATGCCAGGAACACATCATAAGGTTATAGGTTTGTATTCCTTAAGCTTCTATAACTACCTGATCTATTCTAATTAGGCATTTAACACTTCTGAAGACTGCAATGCATGAGGTTGTTTTGTTTTATTTGTCAACTAGAGGCCAGGTGCATGAAATTCGTGCGGGGGGGGGGGGGGAGGCTGTCCCTCAGCCCAACCAAATCCAATCTGGGACACTTTGAGGAATGTCTGACCACCCGTTTATGGGTGGTCAGACATCTCTCTCTCAATTCAGGACTGCTGGCTCCCAACCACTCGCCTGTTTCTGCTTGATTGCCTCTAACTGCTTCTGCTGGCCAGCCTGATTATCCCCTAACCACTCCACTGCCAGCTTGATAGACGCCTAACTGCCCCCACCCAAAAAAATATTTGCTTTGCATCAGAGAAAACAATGCTAATAATTGTGTAAAGAAATAAATGCTTTTTTTCCCCCTCAAGATTAATGTGATTTCCAATTTGCTTTATTCTCAAGAGCTGTAGAAATTACAGAGAAACCTCATTTATGCACATATGTCAGAAATAGTAAGTTAAAGGGCTAAAGGCATATTGAGAGCTGAAAAGAACCATGACCACAATGTAATTCACATCCTAGTTTTATCTTTTAGCTGCTTAATTCCAGGAAAAGCAGTTAGCCCTCTAAGGCTCTGATTTCTCATCTGTATAACGAGAAAATAATACCCAATTTATGGGGTCCTTGTGGATTATATGACAAAATTGATACAGAAAGTTTCCATAGACCATGGACCACAGTAGGTACTCAATAAATACATTTATATTATATAGTTATAATCCTATTTAATATTAATACTTTTTAAAAATAACTCAGAAATGCCCATGTTAAGTTTTTGAAATATTAAGGATACAAACAAATAAATAAAATAGAAATTATTGAAATAAATGGAATAAATAGAGATTAATAAATAAAAAGCATATCTTCTTAACTACTCGAATGTGAACTCCATAGTTTTCTTTGAAGAGTTTTCATACTACCTCTGCAATTGATACCATCTCCGTAATATCCCAGGGGGCAGCGTCCACATCGGAAGTGACCATCGGTGGTTGGCACACAGGAAACACCCAGAAAGCATGGCGATTCTGCACAAGTTGATATTTTGGTTGACTCGGGCTTTTCTGGCAAAATAGTGATGGCTCTACTAACTGATGCTGCAAACCCATCCTTGTGCTGTGTGTAACCTTGGGCAGACGTGGTAAGTTGGTAATTATATCCTCCTGTCTCTGTTTGGATGGTGCCCTGGGTAATGTCTTTTACTTCATCACGGGAGCGGTTGGGGTTAATGCATATAGAACTGCAATTGTCCATAGTAACTTCTAGTTCCCCCAGACTGAGATTTGTGTTCAGAGTATGAGCCGCATGTTTAAAACCTGACATCTGTTGAGAAATTGCCTCTGAATTATTCATTCGAGTTGTAACTGGTATTAATGAGAAATACGAGATGTTGCTGGTTTTGGTGGTAACTGGACTATGGGTAAAACTTGCACCAGTTAGTAAATGCTCTGTTGATGGTGACTGAGAATTTGTTTCTAAACAACCAGGAAAAAAATAAATGTTAGTCAATAATATTTTTTAAAGTTCTGCTCTGCCCACAATAATTCATTCTTTCATTTAATATCTATTGCATGTATAACACTGTATGAGGAGCTGTGCAGTAATGAGGAGTCATCCCACAACTCCTGCTTTCAGTAGACTTATAATCTTTTTGAATACATAATATAACAATTAGAAGACAATAACTAATAATTTTATTAAGAGTTAGAAATAGTCAACAAACATTTATTACTACCTAATACACAGTAGGCTCAGAGCAAAAGAAAGCCCAGCTCCATCCCTGAGAAATTCTGTGTTGTTAAGGATATAGGCATGTGAGCAACTTATTTTAATGATCTGCGATTATTACTATGAAAGTGGCAGCTATGGTATCTATAAGAGCATAGAAGAGGGGATAATTTTTTTTTTTTTTTTTTGCCTGGAAAGGTAAGGAAAGAAAATGAATGCTTATAGAAAAATCAATTGATAATTATATAAATACTGTTTTGTATGAGAGGCAAAGGAGAACGGTGGCTCTAGTCATTTTATTGTTGTGACAAAAAAGTATTTTATACCTTCATCTTTATTGATTGCCCAAGTAGGAATTAAACAGTTTTGTGTGTGTTCTTTGTAAAGATGGGTTGTCATTTTTTCTCTCTTCCAAGGTACTTTGTTTTCCTTATCCAGTAACTCTTCTAAAAGTTTCTTTGGTGTGAAAAATATAACATTTTAGAATATGGGTAATTTTAAGCAGTGACTAGACATGTTTCTCTTTTATCCTTTCTACTGTTGATTTAGGGTTGATTTTTGCATTGTCTTTAGGCACAACACTTCTCAAACCCCTTACAATATGAAAAAAGGGGAGTCAAATCAAAACTAGTCAAGAAAAAGACATAAGAAGACAAATCATAAGCAACAATAAAAAATAATCATAATATAACTGTTAAGCAGAAATAAGGGCAATGAAATATTTTGATAATTTTGAGGATTTCATAAAACAGAAATCATAGGGTTTTAAACTAATACAGAAACAAGAGTGTACCAAATATAGCCCAAAACAAAAATAAGAACAAAGTAGTTATCACTTTGAACAAGAGGATCCTGGATCTATCCTCAGGTCAATTAATAAAAACCTGAGACAAGTTAGTGTCCTCTTGTCCTGTCTTTGTGCCCTGAAGTCTGCTCCTCCCCCCTCCCCAGTCTTCTTAGGGCAGTTTCTGGTATTGAATTGAAGGAAGAAGTAGAGAAGAATTGGAATTAATTTCAGATTATGAAAAACATAGCAGAAGAAATGAAGGGAGGAGAATATATTAGCAAATGCACATTAATAAAATCTACTGTTTTCTTTTGAAATGTAATATAATAAACCTTAGGGTTCATGTTAAAGTATGCATCAGAAATATTGAAAAATTACAAAATTGAATTGTAAGGGCCTATTTACCTTAGCAATATTGAAGTGTATTATAAAGTTAAACTAATCAAAGTAATGTATTATTAGCATAGAAAAATACCATTAAGTAATAAAAACATAAGAGAAAGCTCAGAAATATATCTCAACGTATATTTTAATTTAATATAAAAACATGGTATTAAAGTCCAGTGTGAAAGTATAGGTTATACACATAACTGCTTATTTTTCTGGAGGAAAAATATATAGGGCCTCTAACTCACACATAAATTCCAGATGGACTAAGAACTAAATGTAAAATATAAAATAATATAAATAATGACTAGATATATCGAATAAGAAAATTGAAGAGATTCTATGCATAATTTAGAAGTTAGGAGATCCTTGGAAGCTATAAATAAAAGCTGTAATAAAAAAATACCTGTATTTGACTACATAAAATTTTAATATTTCTGCATAAAAAGACAACATAGATAAAAACAAGCCACTGAGATAAAGAAGATAATTTTAAGAACATGTAAAGTACCATTACAAATCAAAAAGTCAAACAAGAGTTATTAACAGACAGGAAACAGAGAAGCAAATCTAAATGATTATATGAAAAAAGCCAATGAAAAAAAACAATAGAGAACCTTTGTCAAGTTCTGTCCAGATAAAAACAGTGGGAAGATACAACTAAACAACTGTGAACATAAGAAAAGAGAAAAAGCTATATAGATGAGGATAATTTTAAATTATATAAGAAGACTACATGTGATTTTAAATAAGAATTTGAAATCTTGATGAAAGAATTATTTTTAAATAAAATGTAAATGACTAAATTGACCCAAGAAGTGATAGAATATAGTTGAAATAATAATTATCATGAAAGAAAGATAAAATAATCTAAAATCACTTCCCAAGATGATGTCAGGACAGATGGTCTATTGGGAAAACTTGTACCAAATAATCAAGGAAAGAATATTTTCCAAATTGTTGCAATGCACAGAAAGAGATGAAAAGTTTCTAGACATTTGATCAGAGAGGCATAATCCTATAGTAAATATTATTTATAAATATGCATAAAAATTTAAATGAAATAGCAAATCAAATGTAGCTCCGTGGTTATATAATACTGCATTGAGATTACATAGACTTGTATATCTATCAGTGTTATTATATTTCATAATTACATTAAGATACTAATAAAAATAATATAAAATAATGTTAAAAATGTAATTTGATACATTAAAGCATTTTGAATAAGTTTGTCTAAGGTAGGGGTGTCGAACTCAATCAGAGAAGGGGCCAAAATCTAAAATCCAGCCTAAATCGTGGGCCGAATGGTTTACTGAACAGTCATAAACTGTCATTGTGATGGAAATGCAGCGGAGTGCAGTGATGACAGCGTGGTGCGGGCCACATTGCAAGGCCTGGCGGGACGGATTTGGCCCACGGGCCTTGTGTTTGACACATGTGGTCTAAGGGAATGTTAACAGGAATCATAGCAAGTTAACAAATAAAATTGAAAACACATGATAAAATTTAAAACCCACTCTTCATTTTAATTATTGACCAAGTATTATCAGTTTGCTTCTTTAGTGTCATTTTCATTTGTTATCTCCTCACCTTAGGTCAGAATATCTTCATGTCTTTTCCTGTATATATTTGTGATATTGGTTTAACCCTTCTTCCCATCTTCAGACTTAGACAGTTCTTTTCCTGCAAGTGATCCATCCTCCATACTGCTCTTAAACAGACTTTTTAAAATGTAAACCTTATCCTGTTTCTCACAGTGTTTTAGTGGTCTGGACACTGGCTACCTCTCTAGCTTCAACCCCGGTTGCAGCCAGGACCCTCTCCCTAGACTACAGGCATACCAACAGAGCCCAGAGTGTGCGGTGATGTTTGTGTGTGTGACGCCTCTGTACTTTTGCTCCTGCTCTTTCCTCTACCTCAAATGCCTTTGTCTTTCTGGATCAAATTTAGCTGTGGTGACACTGCCTTTTGAAAACTTTTTATTATCCCTCCAGGTAGACATGATTCCTACTATTCTAACCACTTCTATCAAAAGACACAGAACACCATACTGAACTATGTGATTACCTGTCATATTCCCTGCTATTATACTGAAACCCATTAAGTCAGAGTATATATGCTATATACGGAGTGGAGCAACTGTAGTTTACAGTTGTTTTTATGGAAAATAATAAATAATAACACAAGAATAAACTGTGGTTTATATACTTAACAACTGTAAACCTGTTTTTTATTTTGTTTTGCTCTTAGGGAGAGTGGAAGAGAGAGGAAAAGACAGAAATACTGATGTGAGAGAAACACATCGTTTGGTTGCCTCCTGCATGAGCCACTACTAGGGCATGTGCCCTTGACTGAGAATCAAACCATGACCTCCTGGGTCAAGGGTTGACGCTCAACCATAGAGCCACACTGGCTGTGCAAGATGACTCCAGATTTTTAATGTGAGCAATGAGAGGAACGGAGTTTGCATTTACTGAGCTAGGAACATCTGATAGGAGGAAAATCAGGAGTTATTGGTTTATCTGTTAATGGAACCAAATTGACTTTAAAAACTTCTTTCTCTAATATATTGAGATAAAATAGTTCCATGTAGATAAGTTAGAGAAAAAAATAAGCAAATTAGTATAATTAGCAAAATATAAACATAGTCTTAAGAAAACTAAATTTGAGTTCTAGAAAAACTTGATCTCTGCTAGTAGAGGGACCAGCTGTGTGCCAAGTTCCCGAGGTCAAGAGAACCTTGAATTTGCAAGGAACAGCACGAGAACAAAGTGGGTGGAATGGAATGAGTGAGGGTGATAACAACAGGGGATAAGTTTTGACAAATATTGTGTGCGAGATCATGTTGTACCTTACAGGTTATTGTATGTGCTTCAGCTTTTAAACATATATATATATATATATATATATATATATATATATATATATATATATGTATGTATGTATTAGAGAAGAAGAGAGAAGGGGAGAGAGATAGAAACATCAATAATGGGAGAAAAGCACACCCCACTTTGGGGATCGATCCTGCAAACCAGATATGTACCCTTAAACAGAATAAAACCATTGGTCTACAGGCCACACTGTATCCCCTGAGCCAAACCAGCTAGGGCTGTGCTTTACCTTTTACTCTGAATAAGATGCAACTCTTTTGGAAAATTAATAATGAACTAGAGGCCTGGTGCACAAATTTGTGCACAGGTGGTGTCTGGCCAGCCTGCCCCAATTGGGGCCGATTGGATCAGGCCGGCTGGGGGGAGGGGCTGTGGGCAGTTGGCCAGCTGGCACTGCCCCCTGGTTGAACTCCTGGTTGAATTCCAGGTTGAACTCCTGGTCAAAGGGACAATTTGCATATTAGCCTTTTATCATATAGGATTAGTTAATATAATTTGTTTTTCTCCCTATATTATCTTTACAATCCTGCTAAAATACTGATGGTAAAAAGAACAAAGTTATTTTTCATAATTAAACGACATTCACAATATTGCAGTTGAAGAGTATTTACTTACCACGTGACTCACTGCAGTCATAGGAACCAAAGCCTGGGGGACACATGCATCCCCATTGCATACACTGCCCATTGCCGCTGCATAAGTTGGGGCATCTTAACACTAAGAGAATGTCTTCAATCGATTTGCCATATTCTTCTGTGTTATATTTACCCTCTTCCAAAATTCTCCTTTCACATTCGTTTTCTAAAAGGGCCACTCCTGCTCCTGCCCAGCTGAGATCATCTTTTAGGAGAACATCCTTAACACACATATCTATGACACCATCTAGTCTCGTGCCAAGAAAGGGAAGGCAGTGCCTTCCCAGGCTGGAGTTGGCTAGCGTCCGCTGACACAGTTCCAACGTGCTGTGTTCCGTGAGGCCAGAGGGCGTAGGCCACGTGGGGACAAACTCTTGCTGGACATCCTTAGTATGGTCCTCAGGGAAAAAATACGGAAGCTCTTTTGCATCATTCTGGCTGAGACTCTGGAAAGCAAGCAAAGGAAGAAACTCATAAAAGCTTTGCCGTCTCCATCTGTTTTGTCGATGCCGCCCTGTTTCTTGACTGTGTCTGTCCTGGTCCCGTGTCTGTACCCCTTTGTCCAAAGTTTTTGGTACAACTTGTTTCTCATTCTTAGGATATTTTTGTAAATTTAAATCCAGTTTGGGTAGGTTCACGTGCTTTTTGTCTTGAGGAAAGAAATTTGAATTATTTTCTTCTCGAGAGGTATGCTTGTTTATCTCTCCGACAAGAGCTTCTGAGTTAATATATTTAGAAGTGACATCCAGTTCTGGTATCAAGGAAGAGAATTTGACACGTGTGAGGACTTTGCAGTCGGAAGCCACGTCTGCTTGAGAAACATGGGCCGGACGATGAGAAGACGGGTACAGTGAAGTGGTGTCCAAGGAGCAGCTACAATAGGGTAGTTTTCCAGGTGATGGTAGAGTTATGGGCATTGTGTCGAACATGCTTTTTCCTGGGAAAATCCTTCCAGATGGAAAACAAAAAGGTAATTTGAACAAAAACAGCCCCCACCCCACCCCTGGAAAGGACTTACAAAAAAATAGAGTATTGAGTCATCACTCGTTTTAAGTCAAATATTAATTTACTTTCTTACCTCCATTCATTAATAAAAGCAAAACAGCTATTAAAAGTTTGATCAATTTTGTTCCCATTTTTGTCATGGAAATCATTTTCGGGTTTTTCATCAAAGGTACCACAAAGTCCCAAAGTGTTCCTGTAATCTACACTTGGGGCTCTGAGAGTTAGACTCATGCCCCAATCACCAAGATCGGCACGGATAAAGGCTCCAGAAGAAAACCAGATCTGAAATACAGAAAGAAGTCATTTCAAATAATATGGAGTCCTTTAAAAAGGAGGACATCTAATGCTTTCAACAACAAAGATAAACTTATAAAAAAGAATAAGTAATATTCAATGCAGATTATGAAAAAACTATTATGTAAGAAAATAAATTCATTGATTCTCTCAATATAAAAGGAAAATAAAACATTGCTTTTCCTTAGACTATACCTTTCCTCTTAATACTATCTGTGAAAATAATGGGTTTTTGCCTTTTGCTGATTTGAAATTTGATTCCCACATTGGTCTTTTTATGGAGATATTTTGTTTAAACTCTTTTTAAAAATAACTTAAACTAGATGAGACATTTTGTGCAATTAAAACAGCTATTTATGTTGAGTATAATTTTGCCAAGTAATGTCTCTGATAGTAGACTTAGATTGATGAGTAATTGATTTACACTTGTAAATGTAATTCCAGAAGGATACATATTCCTAATCAGCATTCTCTTACTGCCAGTAGGCAAATAGAATCAGAAGCCAAATTATTGATATAATCAGAACATTGCTAGGGGAGTTGGAATGAGAGAAGGGGTTTGTTGAATCATCCTAGTAGCCTATGTCACCTATGATCCTCCACACAGAAGTCTCACCCTCCCGGATCAGGGACTTGGATGTACATGTTGAGAATTCTCTCTTCAAAAACCACTGAAGATACGCCATGTATGTCTGTTCCTCTAACTCTATTATCCCGTTTATTTTGTTTTTACATTTAAAAACTTACATCTATTTTGTTGATGCCACCCTGTTTCTTGACTGTGTCCATTCTGGTCCCCTTGTATTTTTTAGATTTAAAAATTTCAGTTTTTCTTTTTAGAAAACATGGTATTATTTTAAAAGCAAGGCTATTTCATATTGCTACTCAATCTGAGGTGGCTGATTTTAGGGTCTTGGTGCATATTCTTGGAAAACCTTTCCTATATTTCATTAATTTCTTTCCTGTCAATAAATACACACCTATTCCAACATTTTCATCACTACAAAGTGGGTCTGTTATGTGACATTGCTATATTTGGGGTTTTGGTTAAATGCTTTTACTCATCACTGATTGATTGTAACTTTTCCCTCTCAAAAGGAGAGATATTATGTGGGGTTCTGCAATCCTTAATTATTTTATTCTTGAAAAATGACATGCTTGGGTTCAGTTTACATATACATTACATATATTACATATGTTCTCTGGAAATCTTGCCAGTATTATATGAGAAATATAGGAACTGCATTTCTTTGATCACTAATGAAATTGAAGTTTTTATATTTATATTGGTTATTTGTACTTTTGGACATATTTATCAATTTTATTTCTTTTATGAATTTATATTATTTGCTCATTTTAATTGGTGTGCATTAGTGATGGAAATTAATGACTATACACTCTTTGATGTCTCTTGATTTTCTATTCTCTTCCATGTCTACCAGCCTATTTCTGAGGTAGGACCATCTGTATTCATTTCAAAAATTGACTAGCTATTCCCAAATATTTATTCTTAGTTACATATTTCAAGTATGGCTAATAAATATATCACATATTAGGCATTGCCAAGAATATTTCTATGAATCATCCACCAAGTTATAATGAAATTTTAAATAAGGAAGTTCAGTTTGACAGTTTTAACTATTGTTTTGTCAATTTGTGTGTGGTACATGAAAAAAATTTTACTTCTCATAAGATCAGTGTTACTCTAAATGTATTTTCTTGAAAAAAGCACACAAAACCCTAATGTTGAAAATGATAGTTTTTAAATTAATAGAGATGCAAATAGATTCAGAATAAATCCAAATTCTGTAGAAAAAATACTTTTAATAATCATACATACTGTGACTTTTCTTCCTAAATAAGATTCACTTATCTTGATATTGCTGGTTTCATGTTGGCTCTTTAGAAATAAATACGGCTGCGATTCATGTAGCTGGCCACCGCACATATCAAAAGTAACTACATCACCTTCTTCTTTGGCAACAAACCCGCAGTTACATGACACAGGATAGTGAAGGCTTCCACAGTCCCATTGGCGTACATGGACTTCAAAATCACGTGACATACTCTTGTAAAGCATAAACGTTCCAGTCTTGAAATTATCGTATACCCTAATAACAAAAACCAACTGCATGAAGAATTGGTATAAAATATCACAACAGTATGTTATAAACCAAAAATGTGTGCTCAATTTATTTATATGCATTCAATACGCTTTGCTGCAAAAATGAAAAATCTATTTTTCTAATAGGTTTATTTATCATGAGTATGTATGTATATATATATATTTTGTAGAGCCTTGAAGGAGACAAGTAGTGATAAACACCTAAATCTCTCTCACTGATCTTCTGCTTCTAAGCAATGCTCTGTCAACCCCTGCTTCCAGCCTTCTCTTTCTATCCCTCCTTTGTTTTTTTCCTACTGCCTATCTTTCTCAGATACACTGTATATTTTATATATTAACTGTATATATCTCTCTTCATCTATACAAAGATAAGGTAGAGTATGTCTGTTTATCTTATCACTGCCAAACCCCCACCCCAGCATGCAGAGCATGGTTTGTTACTTAGTTGTTGTTGCACAATTGATCTTGTTGGATTATAGTGGATAAAATTAGTCACCGCTATGCTTTTCTGAGGTTCTTCCATTTAAAACTTCTGTTTTTCATTATAACCACAAAGGATTCTTGCCTGTGGGATTGGTTTCTACAACTTTGTGTACGGGTTCGAACTTTTGGAGTACTGTTCATTATTGGAGGGAATCTGCATCTATGCACTAACATTGTATAATCTTACTAATAGTAATCACATTATACTTTTTAAAATAGAATAAGTGTACCTTGCATAATGAAGAAAATTTTGACAATAATGAAGTGTTCATATCATTTTAGGGACTTATTAAAAACATGAATTCTCCAGAACAGTATAACTGAATTTAAATCCTTCTATGCAGATAATATTGTAGTAGCAGGATGGCTTACTTTTTTTTTTTTCTTTCCTTTTTTTTGGGGGTAATTTTGTCCATTTTACTTTAAGATCCAGAGGTACTATTCAGGTATTCATGATTACTACAATAGATTTTTCCCTGAGTAACCTTGTCATGAATTACAAGTGAGATTTTAAAACAATTACATATTAGTTTAATCATCTTGCCTTAAATCTTAAAGATTATTTTAGTTATCACCTAGAAATGCAATGCAGTATATATGTCTAGAGCAAAAAATTTAATCATTATTAAAAATAAATAGACAAGATAAAATGATTGTATTTGTAAGAACCTTCATTTTTACAAATTCAGTCTCACAGCTAATTCATATATTTACTAAGAACTAGATTTTAAAGAAAAACCACCCCACACATGTAAATTGGTATTTTGAAATAAGCCAGTGATGTCTATGCATGCTTTCCTTTTTAAAAAATATTTTAAAATTTTTTATCGGTTAATTCTCACCCAAGGATATTTTTCCATTAATTTTTAGGGAGAATGGAAGAGAAGGAAAGACAGAGAGAAACATCCATGTGAGAGAAGCACATCAATTGGTTGCCTCTTGCATAGGGTCTGGGCTGGGGAGGAACCTGCAACCAAGGACCAAAGTATGTACCCTTGACCGGATTTGAACTTGGAACCCTTTGGTCTGCAGGCTGATGCTCTATCCACTGAGCCAAACCGGTTAGGGCTATACCTTCCTTTTTAATCTTTCATTGTATAGGACTAAGAAATAATAAAATATTATGATTTTAAAAAATTCAAAGGAACACAAACTATTAAAAAAAAATTTAAGGAAATTACCTGCCATCAAATGTAATTATATGTGGGTCAGTAAATGAATAGCAGTAAGCAGTTGGGACATCCTTTACTCTGACCTTAAAAACAAAAATATTTTCAGTAAGTAGTATCATTAATGTTATTTATTGATATATATAATAAATTGCTTAGCAATCTGGGAAAAATTAGTTATTTTTATCATATTGTTGAAAATAAAATTATTTTAAAATTAAAATAGCATTTAAAATTTTTGAAATGAATAGTTTTCAAGGTAATGGTGATAAAATATACATATCATTTTTAAAACTTGAGTTTTGAAGGTATATTTGTGATTTGTCAACCTGGATGCTGTCTGGAGTATAGCTGTTCCATAGGAAATCCTCGTTAACTATAGGTTCCACTATAATGTCTGTAACTCTGTTTCCATCATGGGAGAAATCAGTTACAGCAGTGTAGTAAACAAGAGCATGGCTACAGGTTCCATTAGCACAGGACGTTGTCTGGAGAAGGTCCACGTGACAGGAAGACAGTGCCAAATTTAAACCTAGCAGGTCTTTACCTATGTTATAAAGAAAAAATACATTGAGGATTTTTCTTACGATATACCAACCAAAATATGTAATCAATTGATTAACACAGAACATTTGGCTCAGTGTTATGATTGAGCTATAATTTGATGTAAACATGCAACACAATGAATTATGAGCACACTTCAATGACTTTTTCTAGAGGAAAAAAGCATTAGTTATTACTTGAAATCCAATAATAAAATTGAATGGATTTAGTGTATTACCTTGATCAACAGTTTTCAGTCTTAATGAGATTTTACATTCCTGATCAAGCTCACTGAATTCAGGACAAACGACAGGAATTGTGCTCTCTATCCTCAACTGATATTCTTTTCCATCTTCTGATATAGTACTCATTTCGGGTTGTAACTGATACAAGAAAATATGTAAAGCAGTCATGTATTGTAAAAATGGGATTTAGTTCTATGATATAATAATTTTGAAAGGTGTTTTTTCTAAACAGGTAGAAATAACGTAAGCACTGGAATTTTTTAATTACACAAGATCAATTAAAACCAAACCCTTAAAGACATCAGCAACACACAGAAAATTCCATGGAGTTGCTGTACGGCTCTGAGTTGGGTATTTAGTTCTCTAACACATTGTAGTCAATCTGGAGCCTGCCTTAATGATTCTGGTTCTGTGGTGGACACTGGAGAATGCAGGAAACAAAGATTCCTATATCCTTCCACTTGCTTGCTAATGTTTACTGACACACTAATGGAAGAGTCTGTTAATCCTTAGGCATTAATATTATCCCTAATATAAATTAGAAATTAAGTATTTTTAACTCATAAATCAAAACATCATTGTCACCTGAAATATCGCAACCTTCTGCTTATTTCTCAGCTCCTACTTTCCATGGTTGGAGTTGCTGAGTACTGAATTCTATCCTGGTTTATGGGTGCATCCTTTTTTGAGGCAGGAAGCTTTTATGCTGTCTTGGTTCTTGGCTAGTTTTCATAACAGATGGTTCTTAGTACAGAATACTCTCTCGGTTAGCCTAGAAACAGTTCCTGAGAGCTGACTGCGGTTCCTCAGAGTCTGCTGTGTCCTCACCAATGTAGATCCAAAGGTTCTGTGTTCCCAAGGTCTGAGCTCCACTTCCCCTCCCACTGTGACTGTGCTACTCTGACAAGTTAGTTCACTCTTCACACTCTTTTCCCTGGTCCCTGTTGTGTATAAACGGACTTTATTCAAGAACAGCCTTTGAACTGGTACTGAATCCTATTCTTACCATCTGTCACTTACCCTTCTTGTTCTTGAACTAGAGATGAGTCCAGCTCAAACTCCAGGACTATAGCTGAGACCTCAGAAGGTGCGCAGCAGTTGCCTGCCTAGGCCTCGTGGTACTGCCCCCTCCTTCTACCACTCTGGATTCCCTGTCATCTGCTGGAATAGCTTATCAGTTCTTGAACCCCAGTGCTACCAGTAGTGACTATAGGCACTGCCTGTTTGGATATTGAAATTTTTGCAATTAATGAAGTCTAGATTTCTGGGCCAATTCTACTCTAGCCAGGCTCTAGTCACCTGCCTCCCAAAATACATGCTGACTAAATATTGATATTCTAACTTTTACTTACACAATGGAATAAATTATGAGGATAGAACTTTTGTTTTATTTTAATTTGAGCTATTTCTGGAAAAAAGTAAGTATATTCCAACTTTAGTTCATTAACAGGGGCCCTCAAAATTTGCTCTTCATTAGAATTATTGGGGCTATTATTCAAAAATACAGACCCTGAGGTCCCAATATCAGATTGTGATGAGGTTCTATAACCAGAATCCCCAAATCAAAGTATGAAAAATACAGTTCCAGAGGAATACTCTTTCTGATCCATCCCCATGGCTACATACCTTAATGCCTGCAAAAAATTCTTGACTTTCAGTAGCTAAACTTTTTACTTGTGGTTTCTCCAAGAAAAAGATAGAAGCTGTACAGAATATCTATAAATAGAGTTAACAAATAATCATTTAGCAATAACGTTATGGAGAAAATATGTGTAAATTATTATGTTTAAGTACTTAATTTCAATTTTTGCTAACACATAAGAGATAATAATTTAAAAACTTGCTTAGCCATTGACATGAGCAGTAGAGTAGTGATGACCTGGAAGGTGAGTAGGGGCTGGGAGAAGGGGAGAAAGGGGTAGAAATGGAAGATAGCTGTAATATTATAAACAATAAAAATATTTTTTAAAAACCTTAACATTGAGAAATAATTTTATCTCTATAAAATATTCAAACCTAAACAAATTAAAGTATTGTAGAATTTGTATTTAATATATATTTAAAAGATAAGTGATATAATCATTGAAAAAATAAAAACATTTCTAGAATAAAAATATATCAATTTAAGAAAAAGACATTAAGTTACAAAGGTTCATTGATAATAATCAGAAAATTGCTAGATTCAGATACTCATAGTTACTAAGATTTCTGACTCATCCAATTATCACTGGATTTGGCACATGAAAATTTTTACCAAGGAAAAAAGAAAAGAAACATTAGTGCTTTATATTATGGGGGCAAACACTATTTTTAGGATAGGATTTAAAAATGCAGGTTTGCAATACATTCATGCAAATAAAAAAAACCCAACTACTTTTGAACATACCCTATCTCCAAGTCTAAGATTTATGCCATCCATTTCTAACAGAGAGAATGCCTGAATGGTGGTCTCTTGCTTCAGTTCCTCCCTGACGTCTTGAGAAGAAAGCCTAGACCAAGCTATAATAAATCCCACGGAGTTGTTCGTAGGGGAAACATCAACAGCACACCTACAGAAAACCCTGGACTCAATCAGCTCCACCACTATCTGGGGTCTTCCTGGAGGTGGTGGTGGCAATGAGGCAGACAGCTGTCCTGGTGGGAGAAATGAATAATTTGCAGTTGGACATCTTGAAAAAGAGAGACTGGCTTATGGGAACAGCTCACAAAGACTGTAACTCAGGATTTTATATTAGAAAATACATTTAGAAAAATATTCTCTAGCAATCAGCAAAATAATACATTCTTATTTTGATCCATAATCACATAAATATTGATAGGGAAATTCTTCAGCATATCAAGCTTATATTAATTTATAGTGAATATGTCTAACTAGAAAAGTCAAGCTTTTGAACAAAAAAAGGTAATTTACCTTTTCAGCTATTACCTTTTCTAAAAGATGGAACAAACAAAACAAGGTTTTCTACATTATAATTTTTAAAATAAAATATTTTCTGTTTGCTTTTTTTCTTTATTTATTAAGGCACATGTGTCAAACACAAGGCCCGCGGGCCAAATCCGTCCCGCCAGACCTTGCAATGTGGCCCGCACCGCGCTGTCATCACTGCACTCTGCTGCGTTTCCATCACAATGACAGTTTATGACTGTTCAGTAAACCATTCAGCCCGCCATTTAGGCTGGATTTTAGATTTTGGCCCCTTCTCTGATTGAGTTCGACACCCCTAGATTAAGGTATTACATGTGTCCTTATCCCCACATTGCTCCTCCCACCCCACCCCCACTCACTCCCCTAGTGTCTGTGTCTGTTGGTTAGGCTTATATGCATGCATACGAGTCCTTTGGTTGATCTCTCCTCCTTTACCCCCATCCTCCCCTCCCTTTCCTCTGAGGTTTGATAGTCTGATAGATGCTTATCTCTGGATCTGTGCTTATTCATCAGTTTATGTTGTTCATTCCACAAATGAGTTGAGATCATATGATATTTATCTTTCTCTGACTGGCTTATTTTTCTTAGTGTAATGCTCCATCTATGCTGTTGCAAATGGTAACACTTCCTTTTTTTTTTTTTTTACTGCAGCATAATATTCCATTGTGTATATATACATACATTATAATTTTTTGTTACAAAAAAAAACTGGTCACCATAATGTAAATTAAATTACTTAACTATTTTACTCTTATAATTTATAACTCAACTTGCTATTACTCTGGGTTGAAAGAGCTGTTCCTTATGAGAGTGATTATACTATCTTAGTGAAATACACCAGTGTTGAAAAATAGTCTTATTCATTTTTTTCTTTTTTCTTTTTTCTTTTTTTTTGGTGTTAAAAATGTTTGAAGATTCCTCCAGAAACTCAGATATTTATCTCTGGACATTTGCAAGATTAAATCTGGGAATCTAAAATGTTCCTAAAAAAGGAGGGAGAGGGATATATGTAATACTTTCAACAATAAAGATTTTGTAAATATAAAAAATAATGAAATGTTCCTAAATAAATTTTTAAATTTGTTCTGTTGTTTCAGAAAAGAGAAAAAATATCTGAGTAATAAATTTTAAAAGTAAGATTTTTTAAATATCCTAAAATGTAGAGATATTTTTCTATGGTATACATGATAATTTTTTATAATTAAAATGTTAGTTTTTAGTTCTGTGATGTCCATTTTGAAAAATTCTGAGAAATTTAACCTAAAGGTGAGCTAAGGAGTGGGGAAACATGTAATTTCAGATATCTTAAAGTGTTATTTTGTTAGATATCAAATTACAAAACTCCAATAACAAATTAATCTAAATAATAAATATTTTTTCAAACATTTTAGACATTAAGCCAAATCATCATATTAAAACTTGAAGGAAATAATAGATGACTAATTAGTATATATTCATATTTTAAAAATGTATCTGAGTAAAATTTTCTTCTTAAATAAGCTAGGAAGAAGTTGAATTTATTTTTAAACAGAGAGACTATCTGTAGAAATTATTAGAAATAAGAACTGAAAAATGAGAAAAGTAATTCTTGAAAATTAATTTTTTTAAAATATGTCATTATAAAAGTACAAATAACCAATATAAATATAAAAACTTCAATTGCCAATTTTTCTCATAAAATGACTACCAATATATACACATTTGTAGGGCATGAACATCCCTGTTCTGCATTTTTGCTAACTCAACTGCTATTTTTTAAATGCATGATAAAGTGATTTTTATTTTTGATATCCACTAGACTGAGGAGTTGTCAAATATTAGCATAAATCAATATCTAAACTAAATCACAAAACTTAAAAACTTGTTGAAATTATTAGTTTATAAATAAATTATTAAAAATAAAATCTGATACTTACGAACACAGTCACCTTCAATTTCTATTTCATCAGGGCCACATGGGTTTAATTTTGCATCAGAAATAGCTGTAAAAGGTTGAGGTTTTTAAATTTATCCATTGAGCATAAAGATATAAATATATTTGAAATGACAAATCTTTAGAGAAGTATATTTTAATACAGACTAAAACATTTTATTTTTTCATAATAATTTTTTCCCTTCTTCAGGATGAAATCAAATTGAGATAATTTGGGGTTGTATTTTAAAACAATTATAACTTATATTGTCTTCTAAATGTTAGTCTGTATTAAATAATAAATTTTATTTATTTTACTATTTTTTTAATTTTGTTTTAATCCTCACCAGAGGATATTTTCCCATTAATTTTAGAAAGAGTGGAAGAGAGAAGGAAAGATAAAGAGAAATATCAATGCTAGAAAACCATATCAATCGGTTGCCGCCTGAAGGTGCCCTGACCAGGGCCAGGACTGGGGAGAAGCCTGCAACAGGTATGTGCCCTTGACTGAAATTGAACACAGGACCCTTTGGTCAGCAGGCTGATGCTCTATCCACTGAGCCGAACCGGCTATGGCTGTACACTCTCTTCTCCATTGGCCTATTTGTGTATCTTGATGCAAACGCAACACTCTGTAGATTCCTATAGCTTTAGAATAAGTCTCAATCAGATAATGTAAATTAACCAACTTTTTTTCTTGTCAAAGTAGTTTAGGGATTATGGGTACTTTCTATTTCCATATAAATTTTAGTATGAACTTGTCAATTCCCATACGAAAATCTTGCTGGGATATTGATTAGGACTGTTTTGGAACCATAAATCATTTTGAAGAGAATTGACATCTTAACATTGACTCTTCATTTCATGAACATGGGTCATTGCTCCATTATTTTATGACTTCTATAATTTCTGTTAGCAAAATTTTATAGTTTTAACTTTATAGTTCTTGTACATATTTTCCATACTTATTGCTAAATATTTCATATATATGGTGTTCCAAAAATGTATAAACATTTGAACAGCTGATAGATGAATGTTTCTTTCTTTTCAGATTTAACCCATTGGAAGTCATAATTATTCAAAGTGTGTTTACATTTTTGGGGAGACACCCTGTGTTTGGTAATATTATTGATATTTTACATGACATTTCTGATTATTTATTGCTAGTATAAAGAGTTATAAATGATTCTGTAGGTTGACCTTTTTTTCAGTATTGAACTTTTGAAATAGATGATTAAGTAATTTGCATTTATATTCTTGAGGAATGTTATTCCATACTTTTCCTGTAATGCCTATATCTGGTTTTAGTTTCAGAATAATGCTAACCTGACAATAGTTTAGTAGTCACTTCTCTTTATTTCTCTGAAAGAAGTGTATAAAAATTGGTATTTTTTTCTTTTTTAAATGTTTAGAAGATTTCCCAAGCCATCTATGTAAACTTGGGGGGAGTATGGTAGAGTTTTGTTGTTTTAATTTTTAGTAGGATAGATTTTAATTAGAAAAACAGTTTCTTTAATAGGTTATCTAATTTTTTGAGTTAGTTTTGCTTTTCTGTGTATTTCAAGAAATTTGTTCATTTTATTTAAGTTGTCGTATGTATTGGCAGAGTTCTTCACTATATTCTTTGTCATTGTAATATCTGTAGAATGTAGTTGAATCTCTTTTATTCCTGATACTGATCTTTTTTTTCCACAGATAAGATTGCTAAAATATTAATTTTATTGAATTTCTCAAAAAAACAACTTTTGATTTTTTTTTAATTTTCTGTTTTGTATATTCTGCTTCATTGGCTTTCACTCTGATCATTATTTCCTTTTGTCTGCCTACTCAGGGTCTTATTTGTGCTTTTTCTTCTAGTTCCTTTATGTGTATAGGCTGAGTTTTTTTTCTGTTTATGAATTTTTTTATTTTTCCAATATAGATATTTGGTGGGCTTTCTTTAAATTAAATTCAAACTTTTGTGATATTCTAACGTTTTAAAATTGGGGCCCAGATGTGATCTATCTTGGTAAATGTTTCATGTGCACTTACAAAAATATTGATGTTATTTTTTTGTAGAATCTTCTCTAAAGGTCTTGTGGATCATGTTGGCTGATACTTTTTCTATCGTGTTTCCCCGAAAATAAGACATCCTCTGAAAATAAGACCTAGCGCATGGAAAGATAAAACATCCCCTGAAAATAAGACCTAGCGCAACTTTGGGAGAAAAAATTAATATAAGACACTGTCTTATTTTCTGGGAAACAGGGTAATTTCCTCTTTTGTTGTTTTTGTTTCTACATATTCAATTAATTATTATCCGATGGGTGTTGATTTCCAACACATTAACTGTAGATTTGTCTATTCTTAAATATCTATGTTTTGCTTCATGTATTTTGATTCTCTGTTTTTAGGTACATAAGGATTTGTAATTGTTATGTCCTGTTGTTGAATTGACCCTTTTATCATTAGAAAATGACCCTTGGTTTTCCAGGTTTGTCTGGGCAGTCTGTAATTGGGGCCTTATTTTTTTTTTTTTAATCCAATCTGACTTTCAATTGGGTTGTTTATCCTCAAACTCTCAGTATTAATGCCCTCTTCTCAAAAGAGGCTTTCTCTGGTGACACCTCATTATAAATTTCATCTTTTTCTCACCTCAAGTATTCTCATTTACAGAAAATTTTGATCTTTTTATCCATACCATTAATTGCAATTTTTAATTGTATGTATACTCTTTGCCACTGTTTTGCTGTAGCTGTGTTATTTGGGGTTTCCTAGTTTGAAAAATCCAACAACCACAGGATGAAAATGTTCATAGTTGTTACTCTTATAATTATTATTACTTGCAAGTATTTGCCTACTTTAATAACACTGGTTTATACCAGTATGTTCCAGCATTTTCAGTTTCCTACATATGAATTTGCTCTTGATTAGACTGGAGTTGTGGCTTTTGAGGCAAAATATTATTATTGTATGTTAACCTTTGTTATTGCTTTTTATTGTATGTTAATCTTTGATGCTTTCAACTGACTGTTTTTAGTATTTTAAGATCTTGGCAAAAAATCCTAAACAAAGCTGGCCAGTTTAAACCAGAAATTTAGCTTCACTGGAGCAATCATGGTAGATCAAATCTCTTGAGCATTGCATTAGCTCCATACAAACCATCTGGAAAATGGCATAAACTCATCAACGTACACAAAAAATTGTGCCACTATTACCAGTTCATGTGTATTACCCATGTATTCTTACCTTCTGCACAATATCCCATACACCCCTGAGTGGGTTGTAGTAAGTACACAAAAAATTGTCCACAGTTTCTGACAGACACTGGGATGTGAAAAAGACAGCAGTCTTTAGTAGCGCTCAGCAAAAATTGCCACGTGGCACAAGCAGTCAGTTGCTTGAGCTCCCCCGGTGCAGGCATTGTTTCTGAATCTCTCAGAGACAGCCAGATTGGAGCCTGTGTTCCACAGTGGTTCATCTTTTGCATCAGAGAAAACAAAAGTTGAAAATTCATTTTATTTTTATACTTGGCAGATAAAGCGATTTTACATTTTCTTTAAAACAACTTTTAAAATATTTAATTATCAATCATATTTTTTTTTAAATCAAATAACCTGTACTATAAAAGAAAAAGTAACTTTATGGAATAGTACACTTAAAGGTAGATTCCTCATAATTAATATAATTTTATTTGATTTAAATACCTTTATTCGATTTGCTGCATTTGTATTATCAACAAGAGAAATTTGGTGTCAGATAACTTAGTATATTCTAAGATAATATAAGTCAGTCTGAAATCATCTTAACATATAGCACAAAGATGAACTGACACTGGAGATTTTTTTTGAAAAATTGCTGGAAACAGTATATGTAAGAAGTTAATGTATAGTTCAGGAGGAATCAAAAAATCAGGGGAGAAGAAAGGGGTTGTTTGAAATCTGGTAAAAACAATTGGTTGGCAATTGGGGGGAAATGAAGTTAGTGCCTCACTTGAAGCCGATTATCAAAACCAGTTTCAGATGGAAAACAGAATTAAATAGAAAACTAACCCAGGAAAAATATGAAACTATATGATTTGGGAAAAACTGGGCACTTACTAAAGGCATGACCATGGGCACTAAACACCTTTGCTTTTGTATTAGGTGAATTGTAGTACCCACCTCATACTGCTGTGAAGAGTAAATAAAAAAATGTATATAGCACAACTTATACACAGTTATGTCTCAATAATTATTAATGTAATTATTTTCCCATGCTTAAAAGCAAGAAAAATCATAAAGGAATTTTGATAGTTATATTAAATAATAATTTAATAATTATAAGACAAAGGAGTTAAAGAGAAAAATTACTTAATAGCACTATATTTAGACTGTTATAGCATTTAATTATTATTATTACCTTACTATATTTCTTATTGTATTTTAACCACTTAATAACCATTTAAAGATCCTAAAATTACAGATGAGGAAAAAAACACAAACATAATTTAAAGAATAAGTACATATGTCTAATGAATACATGAGAATATTTAATACTAGAAAAATATTTTTATTGCCACTAGAATTAAAAATTAGCATATTTAAAAAAACAATTTATGTATTTAAAAAACTCGAAAAGACTGAAATCAAACAATGATTTATATGCACATTTGCTAATTGCATAATTGTTTATTATAGCAAAAGTCTGAAAGTACATACATATGATAATGGTTTAAATAAATATGGTGTACATGTGACATAATATTATTTTTAAACTATATAATTTTAGTAATAGGAAAATGTTAATGCTGTAGCTGTAAGTGGAAAATAATCGTGTTATGTAACTGAACATATAGCACGAACTTGACAAAACAAAATAGAGGGAATAATAGCAAGATGTTAATGGTAGAATATGTAGGTGGATTATCAATGAATGCTATTTTATTACCTGTCCTTTATTTTCTAAGTTTTTAAAATGCACACGAGTTACTTAAAACCTTATAAATAGAAATTTATTTACACAGATTTTTATTGTCCTGTAGACAAAAAGTAAGTTCTGTCTGTTCTCCAGCAGAGCAGTCCTGAGACTGACGAGGTTGGAGAGTGTATGAAAGAATGGGGACAGAGAACACTTCCCCATGGGGCACAGCTGATATCCAGGAAAAGAGCCAGTTCTTCACCTTTGTGTGAGGTTTGGGAATCAGTTATAGTTAATTTAGCCAAAGAACTAAAATATAGAACCAAAAGAACACAAATCTTTAAGGACATAGTGAATTTCCTCAGTTTTTACTTTCAAATTCTGGTTTATTTTTTAGTTTATTGCAAGTGAAATGTCACAAATGTGGCAAGCAAATAAATGAAAAGGAGAAAATAAGACAGCTACAGTGTCACAACTTAAAATTTTAATATCTTTCCTGAGTTTTTCTCATATTAGTTACATGCTTAAAAGGGAAAATAATTCCTGTTTCTTCATAGTTCACAAAATGTAAGTTACAATAAGGAGAATGAGCCTCTATTTAAGACTGACAGGAACAGAAGCAGGTTTCGGGTTACTTGTATTTAAGTACATGAGTATTGGAGAATGATGACTATGATCAAAACGGCTGGCTGACCTGCTAGCTGGGTGACTCTAGGAGTGTTATGTCTAAGAATATATGTGTCCTGCACTGTATGATGCAAATAGCAATGATTGACTGTATTCTAGAATTGCTGTAAAAATTATATAAGATACTGTAGGTAAAATCACTTGGTGGACTGCATGAGCATAGCATAAACTATTACTATCTTTATTACATAACTAGGGGCCCGGTGCACAAAATTTGTGCACAGAGTGGGGGTTCCCTCAGCCCAGCCTACCCCTTTATCTGGGTAGCTAATGGGCTGTGGGAGATGCAGCAAGTGCTGTCAAAACAAGTGAAACTCACAAGAACATTGTAACTATGGTGACCACTACCTTGTTTACCTCTAGCTATAAAATAAAGGCTCAGCTTGCCATCTGGATCTTTCTCTGTGGCCTTAGCCAGGCACAGATCTCTTTGTCTGTCTTTTCTAAATCGTTCGCCGTCTCCTCCCGTCCCCCCCCCCCCCCCCCCAAAAAAAAATATATCAGGCTCACCGAACCCTTGGCTATGCTGGCATGGCACAAGGGAACATGGAACACTTCAGATTAATTAAATCTTGACACCAAATTAAAATAATAATTCAGCATTGGAAATAAATGGGTGCAATAAGATTCAATCCTATCATGAAAAAAAAAAACACATGTAAGAACAAGCACATACAGTTCTTAGTGAGTTGGAATACCTCGACACATTTGGTTGGCATCTCAGCAGGTCTGTCAAAGATGACAAATCGATACCATCCAGCAGCAAGGGAATGGTCACATATCAGGTCTTGAGGGGCTGACTGCTGGAGGAACAATGAGTCAAAATGGACACTTCTGTGAGGGCTCTCAAGTAACCGGTGTCCCCCTGGAGAGCACTCCTGAGCTAGGATGGAAAGATAAGTGTTTTTATGTAAGTGTGGTCTTCGTTAAAATAGTTTGATTAATAGTTGACTATTGAAGTCATTTTTTATTACTAAGCACAGGAAAGGATAGACAGGAACAGTTTTAAGGGAGGAACAAGAAAAGACCAAGGAGAAAGGGAGAATTCTTTAGTTGTATTAGAGCACATGTGTCAAACACAAGGCCCGCGGGCCAAATCCGTCCCGCCAGGCCTTGCAATGTGGCCTGCACCGCGCTGTCATCACTGCACTCCGCTGCGTTTCCATCACAATGACAGTTTATGACTGTTCAGTAAACCATTCAGCCCGTGATTTAGGCTGGATTTTAGATTTTGGCCCCTTCTCTGATTGAGTTCGACACCCCTATATTAGAGAAATCATTTTCTGAGCAGCAGGTGGCCTCGAAGATACCTTTTCTCTCAAACCCACTAAGAGAGAATAGAAATCTCCTATTCACAGCATAGAGGAGACAGCGGAAATAGAATAATTTGAGAAATTCAGATCTTCTTTGAGGCTCCTGATTCCCAAATAATAAGAAACACAGAAATTTTCCTTATTTGGATACCAGAGTATCTTGTTGACACTGTAGGTAGAAAATCTCCAAACATTAAATATTATATTTGTTGAAGGAAAACACTATAATAAAGACGATATCTATGAAATAGAAATGTGAAAGAAAAACTCAGTCATTATTAAAGTATTCACTGTGAAAAAAAATGATCTAACTGAATAAAACTCTATTATATAATTTCATGCTACAGAACTGTTTATAAAACAACATCAGTTTCCGAACTTAAAAAGTAGCACAAAAAACTAGAGATATTAACTTGCAAGTAAATCTCACAAGTATAGTTTATAAAAATTATTGTAATTTCCTTCCTTGTTATTTGCTTGTATAACAATTAAACTGTATGAAAGGCATTGTCTTTAAAGATAAAATTTCTCCCTAAATTTTTTTAGTAAAATATTTTAGAAATGAGTCCAAAAGTTCCTCTTCTCTTTTGTATCTTGCTCCATCAGTTTTAAATTTCCCAAGAAAATTTTGGTCTAAAAGGCTCTCGTGGCTTTGATAATCTCAATCTGCTAACATAAATATTTTATAAAGTGTGTGTGGATAGAAATCAGGGGATATGCTGTATATGTAACTTTGAAATAGTTCTAAGATCTTGTCAGTACCATCTTGTCAATACCAGAATTTTGCACCTGATTAGAAACTAAGGAAGATGTTTAAACAGATATTACTGGCGAGGTTTGCATGAATTATTGAAATATTTTCTCTGATCTCCTTGCAATAGAATTTTGTGTTGGTGAAAAAGTCAATACCTCCATCTTTATTTTGTATAGTGTTTCTCCTTCCTAAGTGCTCCTGTAGTTCCCACATGTTCTCTGATTTTGCAGTTTTGAAGAATTATTTTCTAATGCAAAGTTAAAAATGTGATGGATGTAGGAATGATGTATGATACCAATAACACTAAAAATGCATAGTATTTAAACAGGAATATATGTTTGTTTTTATTTAATATTTATTTAGAGGAAACTTCTTAATTTATGTAATTAAGAATAGCTTATATTTTAAACTAGTGGCCTGGTGCACAGATTTGTGTACTGGTGGGGTCCCTCTGCCTGGCCTATGGGGATTGGGCAGAAACCAGCTGTCCAACACCCCCTGAGGGGTCCTAGAATGTGAGAGGATGCAGGCCAGGCTAAGGGACCCCACAGGTGTATGATCGGGGCCATGGAGAGACCTCAGGAGGGCTCTAGGTGTGTCCAGCCCTGTCTCACCCAGTTCCAATCGGCCGGACCCCACCAGCAAGCTTACCTACAGGTTGGAGCATCTGCCCCCTGGTGGTCAGTGTGTGTCATAGACTCTCGTCGAATGGTTAGAGGAACAATTAGCATATTAGGCTTTTATATAGAGAGATTGGTTATGTCATAATCCACTCCTCCCCCCTCCCACCAAATCTCCTTTAAAAAAATTTTTTTTATTGATTTTTTACACAGAGGAAGAGAGCAGAATAGAGAGCTAGAAACATCGATGAGAGAGAATCATGGACCAGCTGCCTCCTGCACACCCCTTACCGGGGATGTGCCCGCAACCAAGGTACATATTTATTATTTTTTTAATATATTTTATTGATAGTTTACAGAAAGGAAGGGAGAGGAATAGTGAGCTAGAAACATCAATGAGAGAGAAACATTGACCAGCTGCCACCGGGGATGTGCCTGCAACCAATGTATTGTACATGCCCTTGACCAGAATCGAACCTGGGACCCTTCAGTCTGCAGACCAATGCTCTATCCACTTGAGCCAAACGGGTTCAGCTTCCTAACATAATTTAAAGCAGCTAAGTATTATATAATAGATTCTGCAATACTTGGATTTCAAATACTTTGGGAGAATGTGTCAAGATACAAATAATAGATATATAATAATACAATATGCACTTGGTTTTCAAGTTTTGTTTGTAGATACAAGGTAACTTGTATTATATTGTTTTTTGGTTTAATACAATGGCCAAGACTAGCATTTTTTAAAGATTCATAATTGTTTGATAAATATGTTAAAAATAATTAAATTCTTCAAGAGATGAATATGCTTAACACCAAAAGAGAGAAACTTTATAATATCTGAGGTTATAATTATAAAATCTTTGGTATATTGATTGCCCTATATTAATTTAGAATATTTGTGAACTTTTAAGTCTTACAACCTCCCCAAAGATGTGGGGAAGAGAAAAACTACCTTGAAGCTCCAAAATCAAGGATAAATAAAAAATTATTAAGCTTCTGGCTTTCAAAATAGGATTATGGTTTCTGCAACAACACGAACGTTTGGAAAGCAATGTCCAATAGAGAGGTATTGGTTTGCTAAATCTATTTTGCTTTCTTACCACAATTCTGAATCACACACACAGTATTCCCATAAGGGAAGACGATCGTTAATTCTAGACTCTCATCCTCATATTGTACCTCTACCCAAGACTGAAGGCTTCCAAACAAATGTCTCACCAATAACCCCCTCCTGCCTTTCCATCTACAAACAGTGAAGGCTCATCTGAGGCTGAAAAAACAGGCTTATCCAGAGAGAGTTTGCCACCAGCATTCCTCAACTGGGACTTCACCCGAGGCTTTCCCATCCATAGGCTGCCTGGCCTTGAAAGTGACTTTTAACTTCTCTGAACTTCAGGGATAATAATAATAATAATCAACTAACAGGGTGCTGTAACGTTCAATCGATTAGTCACAACCTACAGCTCCCACATCCTTAGGTGCCGCCAGGAAGACACTCCAGCACAGGCGTCGTTCATGGCCAGAGGAGTTGGTTTCAGGACTGAGTCAGATCTGCTCCTGGCTTCAGAGCACCGCTGTTGGGATGGTTGGTGGGAAGGTTGGCGCCAATTCAGAGGCCGACAGGAATCCCCACTTTGGGGGGTGGTGAAGAGGGAGAATTTATTTAGGCAGCCGCAGCACGGGTCTGCTCTGCCCTACTCCTGCCAGAGGCCTTGGATGTTTCAGCTCCAGCCTGGAAGCGCTTCAGTCTTTGGACTTTGGTCTTCAGTGGAAAGTCTATTTTGTTTTAACGTCAGTGTATTTTAAACTTTTCTTTGTCGTGGATAAAGAAGTGGGAGGCGCTATTTCTATAGAGATCTCTTACTGGTACGGTAGCAGAACGGATTCTGACAGCTATACAAAAATATCACCACCAAACTTAAGTTGTTGATTTTTGATAGGAATAAGGTGTTTATTAATTATTCCCGGCTGTGGGATGGAAGTGGGATAGAAATCGCGCAGTTTAGAGCTGAACTCTCTTCTGAACATTCCCATCCAATGCTGTTAGGATACCTGACAAGCCTGGGGAAAGTTTCTTATATTAAATTAAAGGGACTTTACGGAGCAAGATATCAACAGGAAGCAAACAAAGGAACCAAAACAGAGCCGGGGATCTTAAAGTATTATAGCAGAGGAGATAACCACCTCCCAAGGATTACTAACGAACACCCAGGCTGTAAATGACCAAAGACAGCGGATGGACAGCGGAAGTCGGCGAGGGACAAATACCGATACAGCCATAAATGTGCATGGAATTCCCCACGTGCCACGGGGAAGCCCCCTCCCCAAAGGTCCAGACAGCGCCCCTGCGCTCTGGTCCGCCCGCGCCCTACCTGGCTGACCATTCCCCGCCTCAAGGAGCATCAGTGCCAGCGCCAGCGCCCAAGCTCCGCCAGGCATCGCTGCTGCCACAGCAGGGACAAAAGCCCTGCAGAACCCCCGCTGTGGGTGCGGGGAGGATGGGGCACCCCCGCAGGTCTTGCTTAGTCTGTTTCTCTTCCTCGGCTTTCAGGGTCCCTGCTTGTCCTCGCTTTTGGGGTGCAGCCGACCTTTTCAGGGACTGAGGCGCGAGCCTGGTGACTCCTCCCTCCAAGCCCAGCCACCTGCCCAGAAGCCACGCCCCACCTGCCCCCCCCCCCCCCCCCCCCCCCGCGGGTCCCTGCGGTGGGATCTCAGGTGCCTGCAGCAAGTAGGACACACCCCAGGGATTAGCTCCAGGGATATAGCGTGGCACCTGTGTCTCGCTGTTGGAACAAATGCTTTAGGAAAACGTGATAATCCTAGGAACTGCTCAGATGGACCTCCAATAAGAGAAGTCTTATCTGCTAATCCAGTTGCTTGTTTGCTATTTGCTCCCCCAAAGGCGAACATTCTCAGAAGTTGCCTCAGAGATGAAGGGTGGGAGGAGCCAGTAGAGAGTGTTGCAACCATAGCCCTTCTCTCCCTTTACTTCTGTGCCAGGTTAGGAAGGGAGATATTTAGATATTTACCAAACACATGGTGTCAGTCATCGTGTATTTACTGAGCAATGATGCCCAGAGCTCCCTTAGTGGGCCAGAGGTGACCAGGGACTTAGAATCCTTTAGCACAAGGTCACATGACTCCCAGGGTTGCATTGGGGATGGTCTCCAATCTGAAGTTGTCTTCAGTTGTGTAGTGGTCTCTGCAGAGGGAGCCCCTACCATAAAAAAAGCAAACAAAAAAACACACCCCCACACACACACACACACGGATTCTGCATTATGTTATTAAATAAACTTCACCTAGTCTTTCTCTGGCGGTCTCCTTCTAGTGCCCCTTATTCACTTTGCCCGCAGAGTCGAAGGGGTCAACAGAGGTAGTCCTGGACACCTTGGGTGCCAGGGTTCAGGAGAGTTCCACCTATAGATTTGGAGGATTGAGGCTTGGAGTGGGCACCATGGTGCTAAAGACAGGAGGTACCCAAACACATACATGAGTTACTTTAAAAATCACTTATAATTATGTTATTTGAAAGAGAAATTGCCATTTTAAATTTAAAAACCTGTTTCCAAAAATAGAAGCATTAACCCATCCTGGGGGAAAGAATTATTCATGATGCACAAAACATGGGTGGATCTTTTACATACAGAGAAGGATGTACCCTTTTCAGCGTTGCCCTGTTACAGTATGCAGTATAAAATAGAGTGCTTCTACTGAAAAACACACATTTATGTAACATCTGAATTCCTTGGCCTGTGTATGTTTTGCTAGGTGAAAGCCTTGTTCTTTCCCTATACATCTTTTTGAGGGGATTCATAGAAATAGTATTGGGAAAGAGGATGATGTGAGGCTCAATACTTTTGCTGCAAAAATAAATGTTGTGGCTCTGGCTCTGAATTTATATTGGGGAAGGCATTGCTCCCAGACAGAAACACTAAATGAAGCAGACATCTCATTGTCAACAACAGAACATTCCTTTTTGTTAAAGAGGAGTTAACTGAGAATTTTATAATGTTTATTGTCTTTAGAAAATAATATGGATAAGCTGGGAGAGGGGCACTGCATGCCTGGCATGAATGCTGGTTATGAGAATGAATCTTTCTGTACCCCTGTTCACAGCTGCATTATTCGAAATAGCTACAATGTGGAAGAAACCCAATAAAAGATGGTATATATATAATACATACAATGGAATATTATTCAGCTTTCAAAGGGAATGATATTCTGGTACAAACTACAGATGTGAATAAATCCTGCAGACATGCTAAGTAAAATAAGCCAGACACAAGGGCAAATACTCTGTGATTCTATTTAAATGAAGTACCTGGAGCAGTCAAGTTCATAGACAGAAAATAGAATGGTGGTTGCCAAGGACTGGGGGAGGGACATTGGTAAGTGGTATGGTATATTTTGCCACAATAGAGGAAATTTTTTTAAAAATCTTTCATCCATCAGCTAGAAAGCAAGCTCTTTATATAAACAGATCTTAACATCATTGATTCCAAAGAGACTCCTTGGAAATGTTTGGTTGAGTAGAAAGGCTTAACCATTGGTTAAATTTACTTTTGGACATCAATTCATAATCATAGAGGTTGACAAACTAATTACTATCAATCAGCCATGCAAAACTACACAGACTGCAACATAGTGACATAAGTGTTCTCATCTAGGCATTTTCCTATCTTATTACTCAGAATATTTTACAGAAGGCTGAGAAGTTACTTTTCAGAGATATTGTTTGTCATTTTTATACAATAAAAGCAACTTTAAAATGGGTATTTTAATAAATTGTTTCAACTTAATATTTTTCACAATGTGATCTAAAATGAGATTGATATACTAAAATTCCTTTGGATGGAGTTGGAAAAGTTTATATTTTCCCATTCAACTTCCATCCATAGACATATAGTAAACAATACTGTTTGCATCTTAAATATATATTATAAAATACTTTTATAATTGAACTGGCTGGCTTGTAAGAGTAGTGATTATACCTGACTGTTATTTGAATTCTTCTAAAAGCCTTCAATAAAATATTGTAGCAGGTGGTAAAGTTCCATGACATTCCTATTTTTGTTTATATTATTTATGTTACCAGCCTCTTCTAAACCATAAATCATTTTGTCCTTACCTTGTAATTATACCTTGAAATATATAGTTAGTTGAATTCTATAACTGTAGTAGATATGTTTGATACTATTGGAGTAGTAATGTTATTATTTAGGACATGAATAGTTAGATTTACAAAATAATCTAATAGATGTTTTGTTCAACTTTCTCAAGCGCCTACCCTAATCCAATTTGAAGTAACTCTGAATTTTACTAGATGCAAACTCATTTTTAAAAAATAGCTTACATGATTTATATAACAAAATTTACCTGTTTACAGTGTATGATTCAATGAATAGTTGCATATTTATAGAACTGTAAAGACATTACTATAACCTAATTTTAGAACATATTCATCACTGTAAAGATAGACCTCTCTTGCCAACTTAGTCTTTTTCTATTCCAACCTCCAGTATTAAACAACATATATTCCTTTATATATAATTTGTAGATCCATCACAGATAATTAAAAGGTGGCATGTATTATTTACTTGCCTTGCACATAGTGAATTTCTTTCTTCCTTAATGTTTAAATATATAGTTTTACTTTTGTTTTATTGAAACATTTTAAACCTACCTTAAAATTTCAGTATTGTCTTACCTGAATAATAATAAAGATAGTAAAATAGATACTCTAGTTATATCTGCATAAACATAACTTAGAGCTGAAGAAGTCATCTAGATCATGGTTTTTGAGCTTATTTAAGACAATTTATTCAAAGAAAATAGTATGTATCAAAGGCTTTGACTAAAGTGGAAGTGGAAGTTCTGGAGCCCTCTCCACCAGTGAAATAAACTTCGCAATAACATATTATCTTTGATTTGGGAAGAGAGCTGGGCTGATCGTGTAGCAATTAAGCATGCAGACTTTGTGGTTGGGCAGATCTGTTCTAGAAATCCCAGTTCTGGCCACCATTATGTCTAAGTGTTTTTTGTAACACAAAAAGGTAAATGCATCCACATAGAGCAGTGGTGAGGATTAAAAGGCACAGTGAATGGAAAGCATTTAGCCCATTCTATTAATAGCACATAGTATTCACTTGATAAATGGAGCTATTATTAAATTTTAGACTGTAATGAAAGTTTTGATATGTGGTATTAAGAAAATACAGGAGTGCCCTAGCTGGTTTGGCTCCGTCTGCGGACTGAAGGGTCCTTGGTTCAATTCCACTCACATGCTCGGGCACATGCCCAGGCTTGACCCCCAGTGAGGACATGCGGGAGTCAGCCAATCAGTGATTCTCTCTCATCTCTCCCTCTATCTTACTCTTTGAAATCTATTTAAAAAAGAGAGGGGAAAAAAAATACAGGAGTGATGAGCCATCATTTGGTAAGCATGACTATGCATTTTTGTCTTTCTGGATCTATAGAATAAAAAATATTACACAAATGTAACAAATCAGAATTGTTTAGTTCCATAAGTTTTCAATTAAGAATAAAAATAGCCGAGACGGGTTTGGCTCAATGGATAGAGCGTCGGCCTTCGGACTGAAAGGTCCCCAGTTCAATTCCAATCAAGGGCATGTACCTTGGTTGCGGGCACATCCCCAGTGGGGGGTGTGCAGGGGACAGCTGATCGATTTTTCTCTCATCGATGTTTCTAATTCTCTATCCCTCTACCTTCCTCTCTGTAAAAAAATCAATAAAATATATTCTAAAAAGAATAAAATAAATAAAATAAAAAATTTGAGCGCTAATGGTAGTCTGAAAGGAGGGATAAGACTGTGGCTCTCCACATGTGTAACTGACAATTTATGTGCAACCAAGTCATGAAAGGGAGCCTATCTGTTAGGTGACAGTGAAACATTACGTATCTCAGTTTTATCCTTAAAATTGTGACACTTAATCTGGATGAGAAAGAAACTGCACCTCAAAAGAAGCAAACAGATGACTATAATTCACTGCAAAAGGAGATCGAAAAAAGAACATGTTCAGAAAACATGGCTTACTGTAAATTATGTCGTTTTGAACTATGGTTTTAATGAGAGACTTCCAATGTACTTTGAAAAGACCTCTTTCTTCCCCTTTAACTACCAAAGTAAATCCCCAGTCTTGCTTCTGAATTTCCTGTCTGTTATTTTTTGGAGCCACAATTGCTTCTATGAGTGGCAGTTTCAACTTTGGGCAGTAATGAAATAGGCATGTGCACTAATACCCTGTAATAAAAGGATTTTGTAGATGAAAGAGGACCATGTCTGAATTAAATGAAGAAAGGTTTCAAAAAAACAAATCACTATGTTCAGTTTTCACTTCTTAAAATCAAGTGCATAGCAGGATAATATAAAACATGAAGATTCCTGGAATTTTTTGTCAGAAACATCTTTTTTAAGATCATCTTTAAACCTGGTTATTTAAACAATGGTCAGCTTATTTTAATAAATAGCATGACTTATTCCTAGTGATAATCTCTAAAAACAATAGAGTCAGTATCAAATTGGCAGCACAGTTTAATTATAATATCTATTTTTAAATATATTTTACTGATTTTTTTTTTACAGAGAAGAAGGGAGAGGGATAGAGAGTTAGAAACGTTGATGAGAGAGAAGCATCCATGAGCTGCCTCCTGCACACCCCCTACTGGGGCTGTGCCCGCACCCAAGATACATGCCCTGCACATTTCCGTCACAGGGACAGTGTTGTCAGCTTGTGTGCTGCTCCTCCCTGTGATGGAAATGTGCAGGCCTGGGAGCCGTGCCAGCCC